ATAATGAGTTTTATGAAGACGTAATGGCCAGCAATAGAGGCTGTGCAGCCATTTTGCTACTGTTTTCTAAGTCCTCCAAATTAAATGACGAAATATACAATATTATCCATTTTCTAGTAGATTATATTCTTATTTACTCAATTCACTCTACTCTGGTCTCCCACGCACACCAGATTGCCCTAGCTCCTCTGCTCTGTTGACTTTCTTCAGCAGTATGTTGTCTAAGTCGCTCGAAAAACACAATTTTGTTCACCTGCGAGTGCGTTTTCACAACAGCAGGTGAGCGACGGGCAGTGTGTGAACCACACCGCGGCTTTCAGAGGAGCTCTCTGACAAGAATAGCACGGATGCCAGTATCTTTATTGAAGTGAATTACTGATGAATCACCCTCATATAGACATCTCTTGTACATAATACCTACAATGTTAGATCCAACAATAGGCTTAACGGTGCCACCTGTGCTGAATCTGGAAAAAGGAGTTGATTTTATTACGGTATGACCATCAGCCTCCCTCATCTCTCTAACGGGTTTAAAACAAAAGCCAACTGAAGTTTTTCTCGCTGCAATGCAAAAAGAATGAATTTCTGTGCTCAGTTAACCCCTGTGGTTGATGTGTGGAGGATATTGGTGTGCAACAGACGTGAAACTTTGCTGCCTTCACCATTTTGAAAAAGAGATTTAATCTCAACTGTTGTTTTACAAAGAGCCTCCCCATTATATACACTGTCAGTGGTTCAGAGATTGCTCGTGTCTGACGCTTTGTGGCTAACTATTTCCTCCTTTATGTACGATGGCCGCTCTTTAAAAACTTAAAATATAATTTTGGGGGCAATTTGAGGAAACGAGGACATGAAATTGTAGCTTTTAAAAAGACTCAACTTGGCCGCTTGCAATTACAGTTTGTGCAATATGACTAAAAGGGGGCATAAAACACACTCATGGGTGGAAATACATAAAACTTCCTCTGCACTGAAGTTAACAGAGGTCATTTCGCTCGGCCTGCTGTGAGCGCAACACTCTGCCAGCCGTGGGAAAACAATTAGGTCACCCCCCCACGGTTAAATCTGAAATTATCCATTTGGACACTCTGCACTCGACCACGTGCTCTCGCTCCTATTGAAAGCTAGAAAATGGTCACTTGAGTGCCTTCGGTTTTTGGTTAAAATGAGAATTCGAGGCTGTGGACACATTTCAAACTGTCATTTGTCAACCCTCCAAATGCTTTGTAATAACACTCAATTATACAGACTGAATGACGTTGCTAGGTTACAGAGCTGGCTAAGTGGCTGATGGGACCATCCAGTGGTCACTCAGTATCGTGGGCTGATAGAGGGTCCACACTCAGCCACTTGGCAGCTTGAGCCTGAAACATGCTCTGAAATCCACATCTGGTGATTAGGATGTGCAAATCACGTCAACAAGCTGCAGCACAGGAGGATTCGGGGGTTGGAGACGGACCAAAGGTTTTATTCAGGGGAAGATTCACTGCTCATTTACCTTCTCAAACAACGCACTTCACAACCCCTGTCTCCTAGTTTGTATATTACTAATTTATTTTTAATAATACCTGTCTGGAGTATGTTCACAGATACTATTTGAACCACTAAATGTCTGTTAACAAGCTGGAATTGAAAGGAGGTGGTTGAGGGGGATGCCGGAGGGACAAAGTGCAGTGACTGTCATACCACAGTCCAGTGTTTGTGTCCAGACTCCTGCAGCAAAAGCACCTTGGTTGAGTTCAGGGAAAGATTTCAGTTAAATGCAGGGTTAAAGTGGGTGGAAATACTCCAGAATGGTGTTCAGACCGAGTGAAGGAGTTGAAAATAAGACTTTTTTTTAACCATCTGATCGAAGCTTAAAGTAAAAAGCTTCTTTTTACATTAATATATATATTAATAATAATATAAAACCCATAAAATATTGATTTAAGATTATAAAACAGTTAAAAGCAGCAAATTCTTACATTAAAAAGAACCCCGCAGTTACCTCCTAGTTAAATGTTAATAAAATATCTTAAGTCACTGCTGACTTTTAAATAATGCTGCAGTCACTTCGATGGCTGGAAACTAATGAAAAATGTTGTCAGTGAACATTTTACTCATACATTTCCTTGTTATGCAATTGGAAAACATAATTTTGTTGACATTACATTTTCCTCAAAGCGGCTGCTATTTAATACACATTATATATATTATTGCATCAATGCTACAGATGTGTTTGGACAGTATATTTTATGTAAGATATTCCCTTGTTTTTGTGCTTTACTGCATATTTTACGACTGCGAGTTCAATAATTACTTGCAGCACTTATTTTACCCTTTGGACATTTTTCTTCATTTGTCTTAAAATAGTAGGAAATCATTGCTTTCCATTAATCTTAATATTCTGTCTTTACTCATTAATGTTTTTGCCATTACTCTGTTTACTGACTCCATCAGTTCTTTCTTCCATGTCGATTCCCGCTGACTTCAAGCTGCTGACCCAACCTGATTTCCCAGCAGGATCAACCTTTACCTTATCATCTATTACCACATGTGTGATGTCTGAACCCTCCCGAGGGTCCTGACTTTTCGTTCCAGCTCGGACATGTTCTTATGTCATTCCTGGCCCATATCCTAACACCAGTAAGTGGAGGAGGATTTTCATTAATAGTTGTTTGTTCTAGTGTGGACTTCCCCCTCTGCAGCTCCGCCTGTGCACCTCTGTGAGCAAAAAATCCAAATCAGGATGGATCTTTTACTTTAAAAAGCACATTTATTAAGCTCTGAATGGTTACTTCTGTGTCACTAATGAAAATAATAATAAATAATTCCCATATTTTTTTAAAAAAGCTGAAGAATTGAGCTGATGTTATATCTGTTGCCTGCAGACAAATCACTGTTTTTTCTGCCTTTGTTGCTGTTCACTTCCAAAAAACCTGAAACAAGTCTGAAAAGCCATGATATAGCCTCCTACGCGAGGAAGACCTTGGTGCTAACTACCCACACAGGGATGATATGTGATTGGAGTAGAGACAGACAGAAAGGAACAGAAATCACTCTCACTCCTTCTACTTGCTTTTATCGTGTAAAAATCAGTTTTTTCTCAAGGACAAAGGACAAATACACATACACCAGCACAGAGAAATACCATGTTGAACACATTGTTAAAAACACAATCAGCTGTTACCGCAGTGACCCGGAGACCTCAAATAAACTTAACATCTCCTTTCTTGCTACACTGGCTGCATGGAGCCTGATGTACTAAGAAAGAGATCACGCGTATATGACATCTTAATGAAAACCAGAGCAGTTTAATCAAATATATCAGGCTGGGTTTTAGGGAATGTGTCTAAAATTATGCATCCGACTAGAAAATGTGCATTTGGTGCAGTACTGCTAGCATAAAAACAGGGATTCTTGGGTTTGAATATTTATAAGAAGTGTAATTTAGCATCAAGCTTCGATGGGGAGCTGGAACAAGAAGATAGAGAATATACAGTATGTGTTACTGTCAGACGAGAGTGGAACAGCATGGCTTTAATGCACTTTTTAGACTCAATTTAACATATTCTCTCTTTATCAAAGATAATAATGTGACTATATATCAGGGCGGCTGTGGCGCAGTGTCCTTGAGCAAGACACTAAACTGGGCAGGCCAGCACCTTGCGTGGCAGCTCTGTTGCCGTCAGTGAGTGTGAATGAAAGGCAAATTGTAAAGCGTTTTGTACGAAAAAGTTATAGGTAGCGGTATATAAATGCATCCATTTACACTCATATAGACTTCAGTCAACACTAGAAAGAAAGAAAGATGCACAACTCTTTTTCTCCTTACAATTCTTCATCATTTCTGAGCGTTATTTTCTAAGTGATAGATTTTTCTGAAAGAAAACATTGTTCAATCTGTGATGTTTACCAGTTTCAAGGAGATAGTGAGAACCATGACCTTTTCGGTGACTCCATCACTCGTATGTTCTGATAAAACCCTGCAGAGGAAATGTGTTCCGTGCAGATTTTTGTGCTGGTTTCAGTGTATTGCACGTCAGGACTTTGTGTTTGCTCACTGTGGAGCATCCGATCTGGGAACCTGTTGTCTTATATTCGGATCAATACTCAAATCAAACTTTTGTTTTAAAGTTAGGAAAAAAAGAAAGAACATTTGTGCGTGCAGAGCAGTTGTTTCTTGTTAAACAAGTTAAATGAAACTTTGGTCACACTCACACACACTTTTAGTGTAATAAGGAGCCTTGAAGTTGTCGTTGTTCATTAGCAGTCATTAATAACACCATTAATAACAAACTCACCATGTTTAATTAGTTAAGTAGTTTAAAAACACACAAAAAGAGCAACCATTTACAGCATACTGCTGTTAGAAGCCAAGTAAAATAAGCTGATAATTAGCCTAGTCAGTAATCAATACACACATTATTAAAGCATAAATCACACTAATAACTAACAGCAGTCAACGTCAGACAACCTTATCATACTTTAGCAGTCAGCTAGTGTTTCTGTAGTGGAGACTAAACGTTAACCAATGATCCATATCAGCAGTTTGAATCCAACTAAAAGCTCCCTGCACCAAACTCCCTTTTAAGAAATATCACATTTTAACAATTCCTAAACGTTGTTGTAACAAACACGTAACTCTAGAAACACGGAGCTAAAGGCCGTCATATGTCCACAGTCTGACTGTCAATACAGGATCAATACCATCCATGAAAGATACAGTGCATACTGACTAACTACCGTTCACTGCTTCCTGTCTGGTGCTGGAGAGAGAGGTTACCAGTGGCTCCGCAGCCATCCTTGTTAGGACACTCCACTGACTTCATTCATTGTGTTTGCCTAACCCTTAACCTAACCTCAATTAACACAATTAGAAATGACAGTTTGCTGCACCGACCTTTGGTTCCCATGAGGACTACTGGTCCCGACAAGGTCAGTGTCCAGGAAAGGTCCCCAACAGGTAACACAAACACACACACACAGACACACACACACACACACACACTTTCTCTGACCTGTATATGAGTATATCGTCTGTAGAGCTGTTGTACTGGATCTGGTACATGCGGACTCCAGGTATGTGGTTCTGCGGGGGCCATCTGATGGTAGCCGAGCTGGATGTTAGATCTGACACACTGACCCTCTGCTGGTCGGACCGGGCCTGACCTCCGCTGATGTTGGACTTGATTGATGTAGGGATGTCCGAAGGTCCCGGGTCAGGGTCCAGTTTAGGGTCAAAGTGCGGCGAAGCGTTGACTACTAACTCAACGGGCGCGGTGGCCTCCCCAGCTGCATTAGATGCTATGCACGTGAACTTTCCAGAATCCTGGAAATAATCAGAAAAGGAGAGAGAACATTTATCTTAATCTTTATGTGAGTCGCTCCCCGTGAAACCAATTATAATGGGTAGAATCTTTTACTGGCTCAATTCATGATGGAGCATTTCAGTGATTTATAAAATAGGCTCCACAAAAAAGGTTTGCTGCAGAAGTCTATTTATATATCCTACAGTATGATGAAGTAATTTGTGTAGAACTAATAATGTACACTGTAAAACCAGTTCTTTTGACTTAGATTTTTGTGAGTTAAAAATGACATTAATTTAGTTTTGTAAGTTAGTAATGCTATTTGAAGTTCCTGATGTTGCACTTCAATGTTGTAACTGTTACTTCAGTTTACAGTATGTGGTAGGGAAATATTCAAAATATTATTTTATGCATGTTGTATTGTAAAATAATTCCATAATAAGCTACATACATTCTTCATAATCACCAAAACATTTGTGCAAAAAGCTCTTTTCAAATGCTCTTTATAAATTAATTGATTGAATTTAGATCATTAAGAGCTGCAAAATACATTTTATAAATATTTGAATCTGTATAATTTAATGAAACCACATCTCTACCTTGACCGAGGCCTTGAGGATGTCCAGCGAGCCGTTCTCGTAGCAGATGGTTCTGGACGTGTTGCCGATCAGCTTTCCATCGGGGCTGACCCAGTGCGTCGAGGGCTCGGGATCCCCGACGGACTTACAGCGCAGGCTGACCTCCTGACCCTCCATCACAAACATCTTGGAGGTATGGCGAGTTATCATCGGTGGCTCGCACACAAACTCCTCCTGTTAGGGGACATAAACTGATAGCTTGATGACATGTCTTATGGATATTTCATATTATATTCAACACATACAGAACAACTGTACCATGAACACAAATAGTTAACAAAATAACTGCAAGAAGTTTGTGTAAAAAAGGCGATTTGGATGAATTTTTAGCAGATTATTTCCTGCTTATTTTGCATCAGAGATGAACTTTTTCATGCAATTCCCTGTCTGTATTGTGTATTTATTTATTATTTTAACAATTATACACACTTAATAGGCTTCTTTTTTGACAAACTGACTGTATTTTCCTCTCCCTGACGCCATTATTCTGTTTCCTGTGGTTTTAACGTACTCTTCTAATGCAGGACGAGACTGTTTTATAAGCAAAGGCTCTGTGAATATAGCTTGTGTTCAGGTCTTCCAAGTTTATTTTTTAGATAATATTCTAAACCTTAAAGGCCTACTGTGTGTATTTTTAAATTCATAAAGATCTTGCGAACACCTTAAGCAGTGTTTCCGACTAGGTCAAAATTTATGGGTGTTGCAAGATCTGTTATGAATTTTAAAATACCACACAGAGGCTTTAAGGTTTAGAATATTATGCTAAAAAATAAAACTTGGAAGCCTGAACACAAGCTCATGATTCAGCAGAGCTTATGCTTATTAAACGAGTCTTCACGTCCTGGCATTTAGACAGAGTACGTTTAACCACAGGAAACAGAAATTGGCGTCAGGTGAGAGGAAATCAGCAGTCAGTTTGTCAAAAGCAGGAAGCTCTTAACGGGTGTGTAATACATTGTAAAATCATAATAAATAACAATACAGACAGGGT